GTGTGCATTTTCAAACGTACAAGTTCACACACACATGACACTTAGACACGAAATAATTCTTTTTGGCGCACACAAAGATTTGCTCCGTGCGGGATTTGAGCCCGCAACTTGTAGCGGGCTTCGCGGACAGCTGGATTCGACGTGTGGCGGATATGTGTCTATTGTAGAAATTGTCGGTAGTTCAGGGCTTCCTGAGGATGGGGTCCTGGGCACTGCCCCCCCCCTTATGGCAAAGACTGATAAAAATAGCACAGCACATAAGACCTGTCTAAGTTCCCTTAACCCCCCCTTTCCTTATAATAAGTCTATTCCAACCAAAAAGGTAGGCTATTGTGCATTGTACAAGTAATTACTAAGGCAGATCCCCAAACTTGGCCGGCGGTCGGGTGTAACTAATCTAGTGGAATGCCAACTATTGGGGTGTACCCTAATTAATATGAACTTTAGGGCTTGTCTAATTTGAGAACAATTTGTTTGAAGGTATTGTTATTGAATCCTTTGATGCTGATGTTGTTTTAAGAATATCATGTGGTTGTGGCCCGGAGGATTAAGACGCCCACTTCTCATGCATGAGGGTGCGGGTTCGAAACCTACCAACGGCAAGTACCAATGTTACTTTTTCCGAGTTATATGTACTTTCTAAGATTATTTAGACACCACTGACAAACGGTGAAGGAAAAACATCGTGAGGAAACCTGGACTTATAATTTCTAATTATAAGTTTGAAATCGCCAATCCGCATTGAGCAAGCGTGGTGATAATGCTCAAACCTTCTCCGTGTGAGAAGAGGCTTTGCTCAGCAGTGGGCATTTATAGGCTGTTGATGATGATGTGGTTGGTTTGGTGCTAAATATTGGAAGGTCGGTCTTATTTCTATAATAACTATCGCGAGACATACTAAATTAATTAAAAATGCCGGTTTACTTACGTAAATATTACATTGTGCAATGGCATAATCTGCACCTCTGCCTACCCCTTCGGGCATAATTGGCTATGTGCGCAACGGTGGCGATGCGTAGCGTTGACAACATTTGCGGAAGCTGTTAAATAATAACAATGTAAACATTATAATTTTCTTTGAAAATATAAATAAAACCAAAGATTAAAATAGTATTGTTGACATTATTTATAGTCAATTTATTCAATAGTTTTACTGTAAAATGAATATAATAATAAAAACCGGGTTTGCATCATCCGCATTTGTTTCCAATTTCTGCCGTGATGTGCGCTGCGGTCGTTATCTGTCCACCACTACTCGCTTTGCACATAGCCAATAGGCGTGATGTTATGTATGTTATGCTATTTATATGTATGTAATTTATTTAAAGTCGAAGTCAAAATAAAAATCATTTATTTCAATTACACTAGGAAGGCACTTTTTAACGTCAAAAAAATTTTTGCTTTGCAGACGAAGCTGCGTATAAAAGCTAGTCTTAGTCATGTCTGTTATTAGAAAACACAGTTGGTAGCATGGATTAATTATTCCGTTCAATCTTACATGAATATTCCGTTGGTATAATTATATAACTGTAGCGTTTGTCTCTCCTTGTATTCTCGTGCAAGTAATTTCATTTTCTCTGTCGTCTGACTGAATGTCGGGTGTTGGATAACGTCTTACCTACATACCAACCTATGCAAACTATGACAAACTGAATATACATATAATAAGGACCCTACATTCGTGAAAAGGGGTAAGCAGCATTATACTTATAGTACTTTTAAGTACAATCTGAACAGAGTGCCAAGCACGAATAACTATCGCATTCGTAACGTAATAGTATCGAGCGCGTTCGGCGCTCTGATTGGCCGGCTCAAGTGAACCAACCAATCAGAACGCTTAACTCGCTCGATACTGTTACGATACGAATGCGATAGTTATTCGTGGTTGGCACTCTGAGGCCTTTATACTAGTTTGTTTTACGTTAAAGTAAGCGTTCGGCGTTCTGATTGGCCGACTCCAATGAACCAAGGCGGTCGTATGTCAAAAAATTGGTATTAAGCCCTCTGGTTAGTTCTGTTGTAGCCTAATTGTGTTGGAGACGAGTCTTTTAAGCCGGCGTTGCTATCCAAAACCTGATAATTGTAACTATTCAAACAACGAGGTGATTATGTCACTTTGCACTTGACAAACATATCAAAACAGTTTAACCCTATATACCATACAGTGACTGCCTCGTTGGCCGAGTGGTCGCAAGGGCGACTGCCGGGCAAGGGGTCTCGGGTTCGATTCCCGGGTCGAGCAAAGTATTATTGGGGTTTTTTTTAATTCTCAGTAATAGCACGGAGTCTGGAATTGTGCCCGGTATATGTCAATAGACTCACCCCCTATTACATGGTACTCATAACATAAATAGTGAAAAGTGGGTGTTACATTGTACAATAGCATAATGTGCACCTCGGCCTACCCCTTCGGGGAAAAAAGGCGTGATGTTATGTTATATGTACCATACGTAGCTATAACAAATTCCTTTCCATAATCTTCAGGGTATGGATACACATGCTAATTACAAGCATGAAAGCATGCTTCAATTGAACACTTCTAACTTAGTAGCATGTGTGTCGGAATGTTGCTCAAAATTAGCATGCTTCTTTCGAGCATTTATTTTTTATAGCATAAACCGGTAAACGAGCAAACGGATCACCTGATGGTAAGCAATCGGCGCCGCCCATGGACACTCGAAAGACCAAGGCGTTACAAGTGCGTTACCGGCCTTTTGGGAATTGGGAATTTGAGGATTGTGGAGGATTCGGGGATTCGGGAGACGGGGACTAGGGAGGGGGGTAGTTGGGCCTCCGGTAACCTCACTCACACGACGAAACACAACGCAAGCGTTGTTTTAAGTCGGTTTTCTGTGAGGCCGTGGTATCACTCCGGTCGAGCCGGCCCATTCGAGCCGAAGCACGGCTCTCCTACACTAAAAATTCGAGCATTCGACAGGCGTTTGATTTTTAAAAATTTTTGAGCATGTTCAATAGAACGCAATTTGGCATGCTCTTTTTTAAAGCACGTGTCACAGTAACTTAAGGAATGCATAACACCTCCTATTTAGTGGTCAATATATTATTTATTAAACAGAAACATAGCCAACAAAACCACAGCTTTCTATCTCGACTTGTATTGAGACTCCTGCCCACCCCAGGAGAATAGTAGCTGATTTATTATGTATAAGCAGTTTTGAAAGAAAATAAGATACGCTATCCGTTGTGGCAGCGGTCTATCGAATAGGGCATTGTAGGTTCAATCAGGTATCAGATATTATTATGCAGGTAGATGCAATACCGACTTTGGTTATAGTTTTGGTATAGTTCGTAAAGTGACTGGTGGTGGTCCAAGTGTAACTTCCAAGCAATGAGCCTGAAGTTTAATCGCCGTGTGGGCTAAATATTATTATTTTTTTAAACAAATTCAAAATGAAGTAATAAGCACGCAGTCTTAGATAGCTCTCATCATATGGCAATACAACATAGATTTGCGAAGCAGTCATGCTAGCTAAGAAGGAGGCGGGGTCCGTGAGGCAACGAAGCGCTGCCTCCTCACAACCCAGCCATCGCGACGGACACTCCGGGCGTCGGGGATCGCGGGACGATCTCCGGCCACTGTAAGCGCGGGCCTGTGGCCGGCGATCATGGGTGACTCGCCCGACCAGAACCAGACCCGAGCGTACAGCGCGTCGCGTTCCGCGCGCGCCTCAATGAGCCATCATACCACCACGGATGGGTGATAGGGCTGATGCCGATACGGAGCCGCGGAGAACATAACGGGTTGCCGGGGCTCCGGGTCGAAGGGCAGGAGTAGGATCAGGGTGGTTTTTAGTTAGAAATAATCTGACACTCCCTCCCGCCTCATCCAGTCGAAAGCATTGATGAGTTACCCTCTTAAAAAATACAACATAGATAATAAGCCAGATAGTAATCACAAATCTCACATAGGTACACTCGACACTATAAATCATAAAATTCATTGAAGACTAAAAATTCCAACCCTTGTTTTGTAACTGAATAAATAAATAAGTAACTTGACCTCAAGTTGCGGTTAGTTCTGACACAGTGGAGCAAAATATGTTGCATATGAGAGCTGTCCATGTATACAGAGTACTAGGAGTTGCAATCTTTACCTATGTATGTAGTTTGCACTGCCTCTGTAAAATACAGGGTAGTTTTGTCAGACAGAGCATGTTTCGTTGACTTCTTGTTTTTTTAACATGGCTTTATTGATACATTGTATACCTAAATTGTTGGTATTTAAGTCATTTTTTATTCAATTTGCGTATCTTTTGTTTCACTCTGATACATTTGCTTTTCGAGCACCCTATTGGGGGCAATGTTTATCTTAATTTTTTAATTTCGATACGTCTTATTCTTAAAAATCTTATCAAATATTCGTTCGTAAATAAAGTTTAAGGAACTAAATTTTGCAATTAATGCAGAGTAAGTATTATTTATTTACTAGCTGTTACCCGCGACTTCGTTCGCGTTAAATTATTCATATTTCTTGTTAATTTATATTTTTTTGACGCGACAACGTTTTGATTGGCGAGAGAGCTAGTATGAAACGGAACGTTTATTGTCTTTTCAAGATGGCGACTGCGGTTTGTCTGTCAGTGTCATTAAAATGAATTAATAAAACGAAATAATCTCCGTAATCCGAATTTTGCGGATATATGTTGTCGACTCGAAATCTATATTTTTTATGTTTTGTTATTCAGGTAATGTTTCGATCGAGTCTACCGTACTCCTTGACGAAATTATTAATATTATTTATTTATTTATATACCTCCTTTTATGCTTTTATCGTAATGCTGTTTGGGGTCGGTGCAACATTATCCTACTTTCCTTTTTCCACTGTCGCATATATTTTTTTATCTCATTTCCTAATTATATACATTTTTGTTCTTCATTCTCTTTCCATGAACAGACATTTCTTTTCACCACTCACTTTGTCACAAGATTCTCACTCCTCTTTGCACCTCTTTGACAAAACACTCTTTAAGTGTGGGAGAGCTTCGGCACGAATGGGCCGGCTCGACCGGAGTGATACCATGGCCTCACAGAAAACCGACGTGAAGCAACGCTTGCGTCGTATTTCGTCGTGTGAGTGAGGTTACCGGAGACCCAATTACCCTCTCCTTCCCCAATCTCCCCAATCCCAAAATCCCCAATGATCCTCAAACTCCTAATCCCCAAAAGGCCGGTAACGCACTTGTAACGCCTCTGGTGTTCCAGGTGTCCATGGGCGACGCTGATTGCTTTCCATCAGGTGAATCCGTCTGCTCGTTTACCGGCTTATGCCATAAAAAGCACCTAAATTTTCTGTGGTCTCTACCCCAAACTACTCTATGGTACAAGAAGGTCCCGCAGTAACGAGGTATTCAGAGTCCGCGTTTCTATTGCCTTTGAATATCGACAAGCTGTACCGTAGACATAATCATGGCGACACGTGCAGGTGCTTGGACTACTTGTTTACATTTATTCTGTTCTGTAGTAAAAGTAGTTACACTTTTCTGTTTATCATAAATGGAGGGAAATATTGTGGTGTTGTTATAATGTTATGGTGAATAAAGAAGAATAAACCGTGTTTTGTATAATAGATCTTTATACACAATGTCAAATTGGTACTCCATTGTGGTCGATGTAGTACATTAACATAATATAACATCACGCCCTTCATCCCCGAAGGGGTAGGCAGAGGTGCACATAGAAGTAACATCCACTTTTCACTATGTATGTTATAAATCCCATGTAATAGGGGCCTATTGCTATATACCGGGCACATTTCCAGACTCTGTGCTACTACTGAGATTTTTTTAAATCCAGTAATACTTTGCCCCGAATCGAACCCGAGACCCCTTGCCTGGACTGGTAGTAGCACTTGCGACTAATCGGCAGTCTAGTAGTACATTACATTATGCCTTTTATCCATAAGTAGGCAGAGGTGCACATTACGGCACTTAATGCTACTGCACAATGTAACACCCACTTTTCACTATTTATGTTATGAATCCCATGTAATAAATGAGTCTATTGCCATATACCTTATTAACCCTTTGAGTACCGTCATTATAGTCACAATTAAAGAACAATAGGTTGCGGTCACTGGTGTCCTCGCGGTGTTTGACAGTTTAATCTAGAATTACCTTTAAGTCCACCTGTCCTTTAATAACTATGTATCTCATAAATCCATGTCGCGGAGAACCTAACGGGTAACCGGGGCTCCGGCTCGACGTGCAGGAGAAGGAACGGGGTGGTTTTCAGTCAGTAAGAGTGACACTCCCTCCCGCCTCACCCAGGCGGGAGCAGTCATTCGATGATTTTCCCCCCTTAAAAAAAAGTCCACCTGTCCTTTAACAACTATGTATCTCATAAATCCATTCTTCGGCTGCATTTTTTACCCAAAAACAAAGTCTAAAAACGAGGATTTGTAACAAACGAAAACGATTTGTAAAACGTAGACAAATTATTTATAATTTCAACCGCATTTAAGGAGGGCCATGAAGAATTTAAATTATTGTACTTAAACTTTTCTTAATTGTGCTTTTACACTTCACGATCATTATTCAAAAGAGTACTCTAAATAAGTAAGTAGGAAGGTGTAATTTTCACAAAATTAATTTAAGGTGCAAATTTTAATTAGTTTTTTATTTATTTCCCTATGTAAATCATTATAAATATGATTTATGTTTCGCTTGGAAGTGGGAACAGGTGATAGCTAATTGGGTTGGTATTTTCTTTTAAGAGGGGAGACTGAGTCTGTTATTGTAAGTGAAATAACTTTGTTAAAATATTTTAAATCAAATCAAAATCATTTATTCATTACATTTTGGGTAAATCATTATGATCACAGCATTAATGCACGTTAGTACCACCAAAATCTGCCCTCACAGGCTAGCTTAAGTCAATAAAGGTAATATAATAAAAAAATTAAATAAAAATGTCATAATATTATGTTTGTCGATTGAAATATTCAATGGATATGAATATTGTATAACATCACGCCTTTTATCCTCGAAGGGGTAGGCAGTGGTGCACATTATACCACTGTACAATGTAACACCCACATTTCACTATTCATGTTATGAGTCCCATGTAATAGGGGGTGAGCCTATTGCCATATACCGGACATATTTCTAGACTCCGTGCTGCTACTGAGATTTTTTTTAAAACACTTGGTTTTATAAAAAAAATCTCAGTATTGATAGTTTGCCCGACCCGGGAATTGAAACCGAGACCCGAGAGGCAGTAATGAGGGTTATTGGTTAAAGTGCGTAAGTAATGTTTTTTGTTAAGAGATAGTGCAAAAATAATGAATAATGTAGAACAAAATAAGTGACCCCATGTCGTGTCGTGCCCGTATCGTTACGTATAAACGTCTTCCCGGTTATAAACTTCTTCAACTGCCTGAAACTTCGTACAATTTTTATTGTTATTTAAATATATCAAACAAAACTCGCTATAAAAGGAAAACTGTGTTTCCTAACTTTGCCGCGAGAGAGCAGCACTTATAAAACCCATGTTTTTTTTGCCCAATATATTCAGGGATGGGTAAAGTCGCCCTGAAGCGGGTTTTTAGGGTAAAACGTAAACAATTTTCTCCCACGGACCCTCCGATTGTGGAATGAACTCCCTGCCGTGGTTTTCCCAGTGGGCTACAACATGGGGTTCTTCAAGAGGGCAGTGAATAGGTTTCTTAAGGGTCGGCAAGACGCATGTAATGCCCCAAGTGTTGCAGGCGTACATAGGCCACGGTAACCGCTTACCATAACGTGGGCCGTGTGCTTTTTTGCCACCGTCGTGATATAAAAAAAACAATTTATGGTTGTATTGATTTGCTTGTACTTGGTAGATTGTATTTTGTATAGAATTCGGTAACTTAACTTGGTATATATTGATTCAACATCAACAGCCTATAAGTGCCCGCCCACTGCTGAGCAAAACCTCTTGTTACAGGGCGCAGGTTCGAAACCTACCACATGGCGAGTACCACTGTGTTTATGTCTGAAATGTGAAGGAAAACATCGTGAGAAAACCTGGGCTTTATAATTTCTAATTATAAGTTTGAAATCGCCTAACCGCATTGAGTAATCGTGGTGATTAATGCTCAAACCTTCGCCGTGCGAGAAGAGGCCTTTGGTCAGCACTTTTGGCCACTTTTGGCTACTTATAATCATGTTGATGTGATATGCAAGAACAATTTGTACTTAGAAGTGATTAGGTAATTCTTGAATCCATATATTACGGTTAACATTTAAAACACAACAACTTATAGACATTTTTAAATCCAAACATCGTCTACTAGGTCGCCATTATTCACAAGGCCACACTAGTTTGCATTTATACTGTAAATAAATCGTTCCCACCGAATGCAGTGTTGCTGCATCAAATATTGGTGTTGCCATTTATTGTGATGCGGGCCCCGCACGGAAACTGGCAACATTCATTCTCTATTTACACGCTGTAACTGTCAAAATGAATTCGTTTTTTGTGTTTTTGAGGCTAAAGGGTAGGTAGTATAAGAGATGGTTTATTTAGTACCTATTAGTATTTAGGTGATTGTATGATCTTGATCAAATGGTCGGAAGCTTGGATAACGAAATATGAGTGGCGTAATCGATTCCTACGCTAGGCAAAGCATATATTCTTATGAATCACTTAGTAATGACGTAGTAATTGCGACCATTATACATATCACAATAGATTAATTTCTCTTATAATTAACAAATTCTGAAAGTATATTGGACTAGCCAACCCGAATAAGAAGAGGCTTTTGGTCAGCAGAGGCCATTTATAGGCCATTGATTGGTGACGTGATGTGATGATATTGGATTCATAAATAGTAGGTTAATCACACCTACGTCACTAATCTCAAAAATACATAATATGAACATAAATCACCAACACGGCCTAAATCAGGATAACCATTCAATAAAACCTTAATAAATTACCTAAAAACATGACAAACGTAACTGATGAAAGGGTATCAGATAGGATTCGAACCCAGACCCTTGCTTGAAGACAGAAACCTTATCTTTATACACCAATAACCTTCTAAACATGAAATTTACTGTTCACAGTCTAATAGAGCGTTATTGGCCTTTAAAGGGTAAAGGTTACTGTTGGGGTAAGCGTAGCATTAGCTTGGGGTAAGCGTAACTAAATCAAAGGTTGTCTAATTAATTTATTGTTTACTAACTTCTGCCTTCGAGTTCCTATGGGATAAAAAGTAGCCTATATTCTGGACCGATATCTACCTCTGTTCCAAATTTCATCTCGATCTCTTCAGCCATTGACTACCTCGTTGGCCGAGTGGTCGCAAGTGCGACTGCCGGGCAAGGGGTCTTGGGTACGATTCTCAGGTCGGGTAAAGTATTACTGGGTTCTTTATAAATTCTCAGTAGTAGTCTGGAATTGTGCCCGGTATATGGCAATTGGCTCACCCCCTATTACATGGGACTCGTAACATAAACAGTGAAAAGTGGGGTGTTATATTATAGTGGTATAATGTGCTCCTCTGCCTAGCCCTTCGTGGGTAAAAGGGGTGATGTTATATTATATATGCTGTTATATGCTCTTTAAATAAATTAAAAAAAAAGTTTATTTCAATTACAACAGGCATTAGATTCAATTATTGGATATTATCATTTTAAGCAATGGCTTGCTTGTGCTAGGAGACTCCGCACTTCCACATGACATTCTAAGTAATTGAAGTTACAATGTAGATAATGTAAACATGCAAGATTAACAACAAAACAAGATGAAAATACTATTATAGTTTTCTAAAAATCATCCCTTTCCTACTCCTGCACTTCGAGCCGGAGCCCCGCCAACCCGTTAAGTTCTCCGCGGCTCAATATAGGACATATTTGGGTCTTTTTGACAAAATTGAATACGAAACGTGATTATTCTCTGCCAATATTCTAAAAACTACCTAAACATATCGATCTATAACTATAAGTAAGGTAGTATTATTATTATACACTTTAACTACAAAACCAAAACATAGAATAAATATTTAAATAACAAGAAAACCAACATAAATCCAGTAGGCAAAGAGAATAAATTATTTTTTCATCCCCAAAAATTACCATATCGCATCTATAATATTTAAAATTATAATCTATGGCAGAACGAACGAAGCATAGATATATAGGGTGTCCATGAATTATTCAACAGGTTGCCTTGTTGTTACTGTATCCGTTGCTTCTACGAAACTGCTTACGGAAGTGCTGCCATCTTGTGATAGCGTACCGTAGTCGTATTTTGGTAAAATAGTGCCACCCTAATTGATTTATAGACAGGCATTTTGTGTAAAAAGTGAAGTTTTGTTTGTTTGTACTGTTAGTTGGGCTTTGGGCGGATTTCGTGTTTGATTTATTCTTCCTTGAGGCTAGTTTTTAGAGATGGTTCGCTATTCTTATGCATGTGTTTAGAGTAATCAGAATATTATTTAAATTGGTGTAGTTTCATTTTACATTGTTGTGGTTGTAAAATGCGGTTATCTAGTTGTTGAATAAAATAAGAACTTAGATTAATTCTTGTTCCAATTTCGGTTTATATTTTGGTGGAATATGTATAACGAAAATGGAAATTGTAACCCTGAAAACTTTTATGTGTAGGAATCTTACAAGCATCTCGGCTTCGGCTTCTAAAAAAAATACGTGAGAATATTAGACAAAGCCACGCAAACTCTATAACTAATACCCAGATTAAACACCCAAAAAGTCTAAATATCCAAGCAAAACATCGTTAGCTTCCTCGCATAATCGAACGAAATCCTCGCTAACAAACAAAACGTTATTTTTTTCACAAAATGTCCGCCAGAAAGTTTTTAAAAATGGCCGCCTCGCGAAGCAAAGCCGTTAAACAAATCGTATCCATTTGCAACACTGTTTAACAGACAATAAACAAATTGCTAAAACAGTACAGATAATATAAGATCTTTAAATAGTTAGATTTTAATTTTAGAAAATATCCAGGCCCTGTAAGTTGGTAAAATAAATTTTAACGTTGTCTAATTGCTTTATTATTTGGTTTAATGCCCTACTACTTATTAAGTGGTACATTAATAGGTATTAATAAAACGATTATAAAGTTGCTGTATAAAATTGTAATGGTCTTTCTTGCTTGATAAAATGATAACTTACGCACTGTGTTGTATATTTTTTAGTTTGTGTTCTGAGTCCAGCAAAGTAGATTATTGGCATTAATTTTTAAGTTGTTCCAGTATCTGACTGTAGAGGGAGTGGTCAATAGGCTCTACGAACGTTGATTTGGAAAATTTGGAACAATAATATTCTATTGGAAAATTTGGAAGTATTACTGGATTTTTTAAAAAAATCCCTATTACATGGGACTTATAACATTAATAGTGAAAAGTGGGTGTTACATTGTACAGTGGCATTAAGTGTCGTAATGTGCACCTCTGCCTACCTCTTCGGGGATAAAAGGCGTGTTGTTATATTATGTCTATTAGAAGATCTTATGGAATTTATTTTAAAAACACTCTGTATTTGGTACCTACACGATTTTTTTTTTAAATTTTTTTTTTTTTTACCTACACGATGTTATACGAGGTTTGTACAATAAGAAATGAAAAGTTTTGTAACAATATCAATTTGCAATTTAAATAAAAATAATAACAAAATGCAATTTATACCTACCTATGTTTAAAAAAAAAACGTTGGCCCACACTTTATTTTTAAAACTTTTTTTTTTGAGGCTGGAAAATCATCCAATGACTTCTCCCGCCTGGGTGAGGCGGGAGGGAGTGTCAGACTCTTACCGACTAGAAACCACCCCGTTCCTTCTCCTGCACGTCGAGCCGGAGCCCTGGTAACCCGGTTCTCGATTTCCTCTTGTGTCGTGGGTGTGTTTACAAACATAAAAGTTCACATACAGCATACAGATGACACCTAGATCCGGATCAACAATCTGTGGATCAGACAAAGAGTGCTGCACACGTGCCGGCATCGAACTCACTACATGTTGCGCGGCAGCCGGTTGCCCAGCCACGGCGCCAACCGTGCAGTCATATCTAGTTTAATCAATAATCATATCTAGCCTATCTAAAAGTCTAAAAACTATTTTCCAGTTTCCACTCCCATACTTCTAAGTACAATAGTTTCAAACAGTTCAAAACAAAAACACAAAAGGGGTCACAGTTGTGAAAATATATTGAAAACCGTAACAAAGTTACGAGTGCAACCAGTTGCTTTGGAGACAGATGTTCGCCAGTTCCGTATCTTTTTGTCCCCCAACGGGGAGGAACTTGTGTTGAATTAATTACACAAAGCAAGACAGAACGGGGTTTTGTTTGAGCTTAAAAAACATAGTGTAAAATAAAACTGTTGAGTATGAAGTTCCCGGTTGAATTTTTAACTATCTTTTAGGATTTTTGGTTGAGATTATTTCTTTCATGACATCATACCTTTTATACCCGAAGGGATAGGCAGATTGTATGTACATACATTACAGAATTTAATCCCATTGTACAATGAAACACCCACTTTTCCATGTAATAGCTGGTGAGCCTCTTATCATATACCGGGCGCAATTCCAGACTCCGTGCTACTACTGATATTTTTTTTAAATACCTAGTAATACTTTGCCCGACCCGGAAATAGAACCCGAGACCCCTTGCCCAGCAGACGTGCTTGCGACCAGTCAGTCAGGTAAAAAGCCAAATTACATTTTTCACCCTGAGACAAATAAATTGTTCCAGCAAACAAAAGATATATGGCAATAGACTCACCCCCTATTACATGGGATTCATAACATAAATAGTGAAAAGTGGATGTTACATTTTACAGTGGCATAATGTGCACATCTGCCTACCCCTTCGGGGATAAAAGGCGTGATGTTATGTATGTTATGTTATGCAAACAAAAGACGGCACACAAGACAAAGCACTCGGGACAAGACTAGGCCATACGCCATACAACGGGGGAAATGGTCGCAAACTGTCCCAGGCCAGGGTAAGTTTCCCCGGATAAGTTACCGTAAGTTAAATAGCCGGTTTGCACAAACCGGTTACGCGGTTAGTTTGCGGTTCTGATGGTATTCCATGGATGCCATTGTTCAACAGTATTTGTTGTAACTTGAACTATTACTTGGATTCTCTATAGGTTTTGGGGTAATGGATTTTGTGTTATAAGTAGCTTAGTCTATGGTATACTGTTTGTTCTTTTTTAAAATCTTATAGATTTGATATTATTAGACGGGATATAGTATATTCTAATCTAAAGTTTTTGTCTGACATAATACAAATTGTTTTTGTTAAACATCATTTTTTAATTATTATTATTATATTGTTTTTAAATGTAAAATGATGGTTACTCTGACATATTATTATCAATATTCCATCAATGTCTAATATTGAATAAGGTTTCCACATTCGAAAAATGTCGGTTAGTTCGCAATCACTATGAGTGACTACTATATTTGCACGCCATTGTATACGGCAAACATGTCTCGAACTTTTTTCACTGTTACCTGCTATCTTGCATGCTATTGTTTATTGTATGTACACATGTGTTTGAGCAAATAAACATGATTTGATTTGATTTGATTTGATTAAACCACGGCCTCACAGAAAACCGAAGTGAAACAACGCTTGAGTTGTGTTTCATCGTGTGAGTGAGGTTACCGGAGGCCCAACTATCCTTTCCCAATCCTTGAATCCTCGAAATTCCTCAAATTCCTAACTTTCAAAAGGTCGGTAATGCACTTGTAACGGTGTAACTCTTGTAACTCTGGTGTTCCACGGGCGACCATGCTTACCATCAGATGATTCGTCCGCTCGTTTATCTGCTTATCCCATAAAAAATGAAGATGTGCGTGCTCCTATCTTTTTCTTCTAAATTCGTTGATCAACCTTAAGACTCACCTTTGATCAAAACATTGGCCATAGATATAAGTAGTTGCACTGGGTTAATACATATATAAATACAATTTATGGTAAGGTAAAATTTACGAGTCTAGGATATTTTTTAAGCAGAATAAAAACTATATTATCATATTATTATTTTCTTGAAAGAGGGAGCTTGAGGGCTAACTCGTTCTGAGAACCTCCTTCAGATCCCGCGTCTAATAGGCCATGGAGCTATCAAAGAGTTTGAAAAGAATAAAACACTCGTTTTAAAATTGCATTAATTTTACTTTCACCTTGATTATACTATTTTATAATAGTTTTCGACTGCTTTCATGATATCTCGAGTTCGATACAAAAGTCAATGGTGAATTAGTTTTATTTTATAACTAGCTTTTACCCGCGGCTTCGCTCGCGTCACAAAAGGAAAAAAAGTAGCCTATGTGACAAATAACACACAGCGCCATCTATACTAATACTTTTGTTTTCCCTGTTGAATATCAATTTTTTCCGGGATAAAAAGTACCCTATTATTTAATCCGGACTTCTATCTTTACGTCTGCAAAAATTCAAAACAATCGGTTAAGTAGTTACGACGTGAAAGCGGAACAAACAAACAAACAAACTCACTTTCCGATTTATAATAGTAGTAAGGATTAGCTTAATTCGCAACTTTGTCTGCGTTTCTTTAAAATAAAAGTAGCTTATGTTACTTCTTATTACATTAGCTACCTATCACTAAAATTCCCATCAAAATCGCTCAAGCAAATTCAAAGATTAACCAGTACAAACACACAGATAGACAGACAAAATTGTAAAAAGTGTTATTTTGTTATTTTTGTATGTGTATATAGACTCTCCAATTTTATTTATCTGTATAGATTCTCGTGAGTCGGGATTTCGTGATTTATATACGGCATAATCACGCAACGATTTGATGAACTAACTGGACTAGTTTCGAGCGACACCTGGGACTCATAGTCTTTAGCGTTCGCTACAGAGTAAAAAAAAATTAAGATTGTTTTTATTCGAATTTCAAAATTGTTATCAATAAACACCACAAGTAGTATATTATTGGGCATTCTATACCACTATCGGCAAGTCGCTCGGCGAGTGCGCCTCGCTGCCGATAGTGGTATAGAACGCCCAATAATCGATATGGTCCAGAATGCTCAATCGTCAACGGTCGATTCGGTTAATGCTAGTAACGCAAAATACATAGTCGTACGGTTTATAAATATTAACATACAAAAAATATTTGTCATTGTTATTCGAACTGTTTCACACAGTAAGCATGAAATTTGTAAAACAACCACAATCGTTGAATATTAACATAATATGTGATGAATTTTGTAAAACTGATTTCCGTCACAGTAAATTATTACCTAATTCAGTACGCTGTATAATTTGCGGACCGTCAAATTGTGGAAAAACAAATTTACTCATTAGTCTACTTATACACGAAAATGGTTTAAGATTTCGAAATGTTTATATTTATTCAAAAACCTTGTACCAACCCAAGTACATATTTTTAGAAAAAGTATTACGACGCGTACCAGGTATTTCGTTTCAAAAATATCAGGAACACGAAGAAATACTAAGAGTTCAGGACGCAAAACCTGACTCTGTGATTATATTTGATGATGTTGCTTGTGAAAATCAAAACAACATGCGTGATTACTTTGCAATGGGAAGACATAAATTTATCGATTGTTTTTATTTAAATCAAACGTATAGCAAAATTCCTAAACAATTAATAAGAGACAATGCCAATTTGATCATACTTTTTAAACAAGATGAAATTAATTTGAAGCACATATACGAAGAACATGTCAACACTGATATGTCATGGGTTGAATTTCGTGAAATGTGTTCAAAAATATGGAACGATCCCTTTAATTTTGTTGTCATTAATAAAGATTGCTCTAAAAATAAAGGCTGTTATAGAAATAAATTTGACACCTTTGTAGTTTTTGATTAAATTGCTATTTAAATCCGTTACCTTAGTGTTTCTAATTATTCTACTTGGAATACTTAATCAATCACGATCTATTTAAACAATATGGAAAAATCTTTAAAAAGACAAATTGTTGAAGCGACAGAAGCCGTGAAGAAAAAAGTACGTAAAATGAAGGATATTGAAATAAACAATAAAGAAGCGCTGGAATCAGTTTTCAAGCCTGTAACAGATCCCTTAAATTTAATTGCCAATGTCACCAAACAATCTGCTCCACAAAATATTGAAGATGAAGACATCGAAGTTCCATATATTGATAATACTTTGAGGAAAGAAGTTCTCAGTGAGAAAGAAAGCAATGATACAGACGATTATGACTCTGAGGTTGACAGTGACTCCTCATATAAATCACTGGTTGAAAAGAAACAAGATTGTAACACAACATCCTGGTCAGTTTCTCCAGAAGCGTTAGCAGATATTCCATTTGGTGTCAGATACGAGCGTGGGAAGTTGATGTTGGGTGCCGCTCACATAATTGTCAATGACGAATATATCATAGTGGCACACCGCAAGTATCGATGTACGCCTGGATTGAAACAGTTGCTACTGAAAAAGAATGCAGATTTGAGTTTGGTTACAGAGAGTGATATGCAACATTATAAATCAATGCTACTTGATACAAATGCACATCGTCGAGATTATGATCCAAGTAAACCGATAAAAAGTAATA